AGTCCACTATATAAACATTTAATTATTTATATTTGTCTTCTGGTCAGAATATTGATGGAGTTTTAATGACATGTTTTATACTACAGAGTCCTCTGTACCAGTTACATGTATCTTAATTATCTTAACTGACCATAGAAACTGGACAATGACCATTATTTAAAAATAAGGTTAATGTCCAGTTTAGTAGTTGACAAGCTAGGTTTAATATATTGTTGTAAACCTTTCCTTTATTTATAAGATTGAGCTTACAAACATGTTTAACCCCATCACATTTTTAATGTGCCTGTCCCAAGTCAGGAACCTTTAATTCAGTGGATGAGAAAACCAATGGCCTGAATATATGTACAAAACAATAAACCCCTTTTATACCATAAAAAGACCAAAGTTTTTGGTTTAGAAGTTAAATATCAATATCAAAAGCTGCAATAATTAGAAATGTGTATTACACAAGCCAAACCTGTATATAAAGGATACCTTTGGGACCAGAGAAAATTGACCTTACAACTGACCTTGAAAATGAGGTTCATAGGTATTACTACAAGGGAACAAGAAGAGGGTGACCTAAGCTTAAAATAGGTGACCTTTATAACAGGCTTGACTGTACGTAGAAACCCTACTTCTAATATGTGATAAGCTAAATTGTGTGGAAATCAGATTAAAATAAAAAGAATTTGAAAAGAAGAATGAAGGGTGCATATTTGTAGGTAATTTTATGTCTATATCAGATATTTATGGAACTTTTTATGGTAATCAGCCTTTCAAATATAACAATTGCCACAAGTAATATATCGATATAAGCATTATCTCATTCAGGTGAATCTATAATCCATTTATTAACCATTAAGAATTGCCAAAAAATTGATATATAAAGAAAATATCATTCAACAAATCATTATAGTATAAAGGGGATAAATACCATTAAATTGTCTTATATATTCAGAAAATAGTATAAGTGCATTCTTCTTTTTGAATTCACTTATTTCTATGTGATTTTATTTATTTATGTTGACACTAAGGCTGTCATTATCTTGTGAAAGTAAGAAGTACTTTACCTCTTCATAGAAAGCTGAAGATCTTCCAACAAATGGACAACTGCTTATACTTTAGTTGATAGTTTGATTGGTTGATTGATTGATTGATTGATTGATTGATTAACTGATTGATTAATTGACGCTATGATTGATTGGTGTTGCTTGGTTAAAGTCTATGGGCAAATTTAAGTGCCTATTCAGGAAAAACTCCTTTACTGAAGACATTCCATTTTACAAATGTCAAATTTAGAGCTTTTTTAAAGCCCTTTCCTGTGATATTTATACATGTTGTATAAACACACTCCTTGTTCTCATTTATGCTTAATCTATCCTGTCAATTCTCCATTCCAAAGTTCAACAACTGTTACAACTTTTTTCTAATTTTCTGTAGTTGCTTAGTTAGTTAATAAAGATCAAGATTATGTTTTTCTTCCATGAATGATCTACTGTTCATGACATTATGGCTCTTGGACTTGGAAATTTGTGCATTTTATTTGTTTTCAACACAAAAAACAGCTGTTAACTTTGGAACAAAGTAACCAAAGAGGTTTTATACTCTTCAACAGAATGGCCAAATAACATCTAATATGGCTATTTTAATATGAGGTAGATAAACCAACCTTTGTGTGATGTTGATGTAGGGTATTTGAGTCAGGTGTGTGAGGATTTGAGTTTGAGTCAGGTAAAACTAAGGACTTTAAGCCGAAACTTATTGGTTCTCTGCTAAACATGTAACGCTGTAGAGTAAGCTAATTAAGGCTCAGAATTGAAATGATGTGTCTCAGGGTTAGTAGGACATGTTTTCCTTACATATATGTTTCCAATCCAACTAATAGTGTTAATTTAGTACAAAGCAAGGTGAACTCGTGTGGAATAAACATGTTGTTATTCTTAATATGGATGAAATATTTGCTACTGGCTAGGCATTAATCAATCGGAGAAGTAAATGCAAAGTAAAAGATACTTAATTCATGTCAATTTATGAAAATGGAATGTTAAAATAATCAAAGCCTTTCTTTTAAATTTTCATATTATATGTTACAATTCATAGACCTAAATGAGGTTGAAATGAGATTGGATAAATTTGTTTTTTCTGTGGCCTTGTCGGCTTATTACAATAAGAAAATGGAGTAGGGTGTCTAAGATATTAATGAACAATTAGCTGTATCTTATTTTACGACCTTGAGTATAATAGGAATATTATTATACCAATCATATACTGATATGATATATGATTAATTATTGACATGGACATAATGTAGATAATGTATCATAACTGCTTATTCAGCATTTTTTGTTTTTCATCATATTAGTGTTTGATACAAGCATTTCTTTGTGTTTAGTTATGTGCTAAGTTACTAGCTTATGATGCTCTCTTTTTGTGTTGCTTAGCTGTTTTTCACTTTGTGAATTTCTATGTACTCTTGACAAATTATACCTCATGAGTTGTTTTAATCTCCCTGGCCATCTACAGTGAACAATTTTCTATTTGTTTCTATAAATAAGCTCCTAAGCTATGATTAAAATAAGGAGATTCTGATGAAATTATTTCAAGGTTTTATATTTTGAATAAATATATGTGTTTCTACTCGGATAACTTTGTGAGTTGGAGTCCCACACATGGCAGGTGCGTTTGAATCCAATCTTACTTGACTAGGATTGTCAGTCTTCCCTTACCGAAGAACAGTGTTTTTCTTCAGCCTCTATGGTTTCCTCCGCCAATAAAAGTGGTGTTAAACGCTTATCAATCAACTTCAAATCAGTTAATCTGTGAATACTGCAGTTAGGGTTCCAAAATTACTGTGTTATTTTTTCTGGAATTACTACAAGGGAGTTCTTTTTGAATTACTACATGGAGGTTTTTCTGGGACTACTTGAAGTAAGGTTCTCATGTGAATACCACAAGGAAACACTTCTAGAATTACTTCATGAAGGTTTTTCTAGGATTATTAAACAGAGGTTCTTCTGGAACAACTTTGAAATTAGGTTCTTCCACGATCACTGTAGTGATGTTCTTATGGAATTACTTCAAGGAGGCTCTCCTTGTATTACTTCAAAATTGGGTTCTTCTAGGATTACTGCTTTTGGTTTTCCTGTTTGAATTGTTTTACACTAGTCTTTTTGGGGCCCTTTATAGCTTGCTGTTCGGTGCGAGCCAAGGCTCCGTGTTGAAGGCCGTACTTTGACCTATAATTGTTTACTTTTTACACATTGTGACTTGGATGAATAGTTGTCTCATTGGCACTCATACCACATCTTCTTATTTATATTTAAACTTATTTTTCATCAGATGAAACCAGTTATTTTAAAGTCTATGCTGTAACTTTCTCTTTACTAGTGTATCTAACTTGAAATTTGAATTATTTTTAATGAAATGTAGCTTTGAAATTTTGTTACGGTGTCAGAGTCATAATGGAAATGAGAAAGTCAGAAACTTAATACATTGGACATCAGTAATATGAGACAAATCAAAAGCTTATATATTCGTTACCTGATATATAAGATAGGCTTTTATAGATTCATCTTGTTAATATAAAACTTTGCATTCTGGTCTTTTTACCCATCACACTTTCACAAAATTTGTCAACTTATTGTTTGATATATTCACTTTCATCCATATTTAGAATGAATTTTTTGCTCAATTTTTCATTCAAAATGCAGTTACCAAAATCAAAAGACAATTTCTATATTTTGAAATAAATCAGATTTCAAGGTCAAGATTATGTGTGTGTGACATGAGGTACCAAATAAGACAGAAATGGACATTCATGCTCTCACATATTTTAATTGTCAGTTTCAAATTGAAGCAACTTCATAAAATCAGTCAAACATGCAAATTTATTATGAACTGTCTTGTGAAGTATTTTTTGTTAATTTATTCTTGTCCTCAAAATGCATGAAAAATTTGTCACTGGACATCAACACATTGACCAACAATCCATCAATGTTGAAGGGTATAAAAGCATAAGTGTAATTTTACTGATTATAGTATACAAGTAACAAGCACTGTTTGAACACTACTTGATCATATTTTTATGATTAACGTTTATTACCGACACCTAAGGGCTTGCGTTTCTGTAATCATTGTCCCCTTTTGTAATTGATTGATTAAATAAGACGGCTTTAGGACAGGTAATTATGGACCTCTTTGGTCATCATTGTTACAGCTCACCTGAACGTATGACGATGTTTTTACCTGTTACCTACCTGTATAGATATATTGTCAATGTTTGTAAAAAAAACACTAATTTGATTCCTGCTGGGGACATCTGAAGATGTGAAAAAAAACTTGTTTTGAAGAGAATGATATTTTTTTGTATGAATTTATGAATTTTAAAATTTTTTGAGGACAAACATCTGTGATTTTGATAGAAGTTTTGGATAATATTTCGTATGGACATTAGTTGTATCAAATATCTTTGATGTGCTGGATTTGAAAATTGAATTTTTTTCAAATTAAAAATTACTATTGCAGAAAAAAATTATATACTTTTTTAAAAGTGTTGTTCAAGGAAGTAGTTAGATATATATACTGAAACTGGAGTCGTAATGTGATGCTCTTTGCGTGAGTATAATAGGATGAGATGAAATTTAACAACAATTTCATTATCTGAGGTATCAGTTGATCTAAGATTCACATGAAAATTAAATCTAAAAATGGATGCATGAGTAGCAGAGACGAAGCTTAGGATAAGATCTAGCGAAAGTAATTTTATGGACCACAACAAATCAAGAAGAGATAATATTTTCACTTAGTGGATAAGATTTGATTTTAATATATTTGAAAAAATGCGTTGGATGTGACATCTATGGAGAATTTGACCTAAGGAGATCTTGATGTGTCGTAAACAACTTTTTGATCAGTCGTGTGACATAGATATGTCTTCACAGAAATAAGATGTATGACTCCTAACAAATGCACAATTGGTAGGTAAAGGAAAATATTTACAGTTATGAGTCTGTTTATTTATAAACATTTACTTTTTATAATCCTTTTCATTTGAAAGTAAAAGGAAATCATTAACATTCATGACTTTTAACATATTTTAATTACTATAAAAAATTTAACCAGTTTGACAATAGTAATTAATCAAAATGGAAGAACAGAAAAGAACTGGATTTAAAACACCATTAAAATTCCTCTCAATTACACGCACTACAAGTTCGGATAGGAAAGTAGCGCTGCCTAAAATTTCTGATCGTTCATTAGGGAAAAGGCTATCAATTCCTGTGGTGATGTCAGAAAAAAGGGGAAATAACTCTCACAGTGTAATAACAGAATCAAAAGATGATACTGATCAAGTGATTTACAGAAATTCCAAGGTTACCACACCAAGTAGACCATTATCAGTGTGTATACCATCAACAATTGATCCTAAAACTAGATGGCGCTCACAGACAGCAGACCTTAGATATCCATTATTGGGACGTGTATCTTCTGAAGGAGTATTGAATTCTAACGTTTCCAGGGATGTTAATTCAAATATTGAAGAAAAAACAAAAACTGATGACAAGGATATACCCTCAGAGGTTCACAATAATAATGACGAGGTCAATACAACAGAAAATGAAATTAATCAGATAAGTTCATCAGTTTCAACAAATCAAGACAATTTGAATTGTGCAAGTGATCTTTTGTCATTAGAAAAACACAGAGAATATGATATCACTGCGGTTAATAGTGTTTCCACGGAAACTGGATATAAAATTACAGGAAATAATGAAGAATGTCATTCAAAGACCTTTAGAGGAACAGAAATTGGAAATACAAATTTAGAAAACAAAGATGACAATTCTTCAAAGAAACCAAGTGGAAATATAGTTGATGCGTCTAAAAATATGCCTGATAAACCAATATTTTATGGAGTTGTCCCTGTTTGTTCTAAAGAAAAGGCTGTGTCTTTGCATCCTAAAAGGGAGATTAATCTAGCAAAAAATGTTTCTCCTCACACCACTAAACAAGATATGAATTTTTCGACTTTAGAATCATGTACTTCACAATCTCAGGTCAATGCAGAGATATCTTTTTCAAATGATGAATCAATTATAGCAAATAAGAGGGAGGACATTTTATCTAAAGAAGGTAAGGTAACTGGTAATAAAGTGGAGATAACTCCAGTTGAAAAGGAAGAATTACCACCTGCAAGGTCATCACCTCTAAATGCATTAAAAATGATGTCCAAAGACTGTGAATCGGGTATTGTGTTTTCTCCAAGAACAAGGGCTCTGTTGATTGAAAATGAAAATGAAAATCAGAACAATGGAAATTTAAATGTAAGGTCAAATATCTCCTTAATGTCAAGGTCAGAAAAATTAAGAAACAAAGTTCAAAGTTTATATCTTGATGAGGATCAAAGCTTTAAATTTGAGGAGAATGAAAAAGTAGTGAGACCAAAAAGCCAAATAATTCCAACCTCAGATTCAATTTTAGATAGTGTTTTGACTGTAGGTAATGCTAATAAAATCATTGCAACTGAGGAACACATAGTACCAAAGATTACCTCTAAGGATTTATGTACACAAGGTCAAAAGGATAAAATGACCTTGAACTTTAATGACCAAGGTCGTCCAAAGAAGGAGGAGCCATTATCTCCAATTGATACAATTTTGACATCACCGACAAGACCAGCTAGACGTAGACCAAGCAAAAGAAGATACTACGGACAAAAATCATTGGTAATTTGTAATATACTTTCGATTGTTTCAATACATCATCTTGTTGTCAATAGGTCATTTTGTGCTACGTTTTACTTTTCCAGAGCTAATTTAATTGAAGGTGCAGGTATGTCATCTTGGTTGGGACCTTTCATCTATTTAATAAATTGCTTGGATGCATGTTAAAGTGTTTCTTACCATAAATTAGCATTTTTATAAGCAGGTCTATTTGAAATTAGAGGAGATTAAATTGTGTTTGATGACAAACTATTATTTGATTTTAACAACAAACACAACATGAAAATGCAAAGTCATCCACTTTTGTAACAAACAGATGATAATTTAAGATATCTGTTAAATTTTAAAACAATTTGTCTTAAAAGGGCTATTCAAGATGGTCAGTGTTGACATTTATTTAAACATACAGCGTGCAATTTTGTAAAGATGAATTATTTTGTTTTGTTTTGATTGTAACCTAGATCTTTATGATGTTGATTCTTAACAATAATTAAAACATCTGTCACGATCAGAATACTTGACAAGGCTTATGATTGATGAGTGACATCTTTCAGATGAATAAGGTTGTGGTACATGGCATTTTGGTTACCAAATTTTGCACTAATAGTAATCTACAAGGATTTAATGACTTCCAAAGTATTGTTTGAATCTTTAAAAGAGGAAACAAATTTGATTATCATCATTAGATAATGTCATGATTAAACTTTTAAATAGGGGGGGGGGGGTGGGGGGGGGGGGGGGATGAAAGCTTGCTGTCACTACTTCTATTCTTACTGAAGCCTGTCAAAACAATTTATATATGACAGTATGCAAGTTTACATGTTTATAGATCAAAAGTTTGCACAAAATTTTTTAGTAATTCCCCACTTAATATAGACCTTCATATCTTTTTTTTGATGTTGTTCATTTGCTGTCTCATTGACATATTCCACACTCCTTCTTTTATTCATACTTACATGCAGTGTTGGGATTTGAATGAAATTATTTGTGTGGAAACTAGTAATGTGCAGTCAGGGTACAATAGAGATAGAATATAAAGATTGAATTAGGAAAATTTATTAGCTTATTGGCAATATGCCTCTTTTGTTCTCTACTGTGATTAAATTATGAATTAACAGATTTCATGTAGAATCAATATAATATGGTGCCCATCATTTCATATGTCATAGACTTGTGTATCGCCTGTTCTAAAAACAATACTCTTATCTTCAGAACTTTCTAATAATTTTGTGTGATTTAGGAAGTGGGGTTCAAAAGGGCACCTTTCCTTTTGAGTTCTTTTCTATCACCTGCCACTCTTCCTCCTCAGGTCTCCTTGTCTTTTTATCCTTTCTCTTACACTCTTCTTTGCCTCTTACATATTTCTTTTGAAAATTTGAGAATTTTTTGTGGGTGTTTTTTGAATTACGAAGAAATTGACTTTGCATTCAGTATAGTATTCTTTTGAAGATTGATTCCTAATAAATAACAGTAACAGATCACATTAATGGCTGTAATAATTGTGTCATTTACTTAAAAAAAATATGTAATTGACACCATAGATTAGCTTGGTTGACATATTGTTAACACACGACCACAAAGATGTCTTGAGTTGTCACTTTAATGGGAGAGACAAGTTTGACAGCAGATTGTTAGGTAATCAAAGTCAGACATACCAAATTTACCCTATTCCATTATTGTGACACCACTGAGGAACCTTATTACAGAAATTGTGCTTACTCAAGCAACAAGACAGATACAACATGTGTAGCAGGATCTGCCTCCCCTTCTGGAGCACCTGAAATCACCCCCTGTTTGTGGTGGGGTTTGTGTTGCTCAGTCTTTAGTTTTTCAATGTTTTGTTTTTGTAGACTGTTTGTCTTTTTGTTGTTTTTCTTTTGTTACCATGGTGTTGTCAGTTTGTCTTTGACTTATAAGTTTGAATATTTCTTTGGTATCTTCTCCATCTCTTTTTGAATCGTTGTCATTTACATAACTCATGGTGCAGTGCAATTTTTTGTGACTATCAGATTTATAGGAGACATTTCATTGACTAAAAATTTTAAGAATAAAGATACGAAGTTCTACAGGACCTCTTACAAACAAAAGACTTTATTTACTCATATAGAATCGACCGATATCACAGACAATATTAATGCTGTTAGACTACACCTGGAAAATAAAATGCTTTTATCTACTTTGTAGCCATCTTTGGTTACTAAGCAACCCATGCATTTATACATATATGGCTCTCCTAATCATTGGCGCTGCACATTCCTCATGATGGTTAATCTACTTATCCAGAATATTTACTGCTTTGTTTGTTATCATTTAAAGAATTTTAATTATTGGAAAAGTCTGTGTGACTTCTATTGTAAAATTAAACAAGGTTCTCTGTACCTTATTTCTGTGTAAAATTTTGTAAATGCTTTTTTATCGGTTTGATTTACGTAATTGCAATGTTATTGTCTGTTCTCTTCAACTTATGATTTATTGGTATCTTAATTCCTTTTTTCTAATGAAAAATTATTAAAGGTACTATTACAAAATGAATAGTTTCCAGGAGTTGGATTCATAAAAGAACTTACGACTAAGATTGATCGTAAGTACATTGAATTGTTCATGACTTACAGTCAATCTTAGTCGTAAGTTTTTTGTGAAACCGATTCGAGATCATAGACCTTTAGAAGTTTTGAGGAGCAACCTTTTTACAAATCTGTGACTCTTGACATCATGAGCATTACGATGTTACATTTAATTAATTCTAGTCCTTAAATTTTATGTGAAAAACGTTCCCAATTCTTTTGCAATAGTCACAAATTCCTTCATCTTTCCTTTTGCAGTATTCATGATCCACTTCACTTCCTTTCCTCATACAGACTCACAGATCACCATCATAACAGAATACAACAAATCAACGGGTCCTTTCATATTGTTGGGTACATGATTGACGTGCCACTTGTTTATTCTTGAAATGATGATATTCGTCTCCTTACCTTTGTGTATTACTTGTGTAAATTTTCAAAAGTATTCAGTTTTTAAGAAATTCTTGAAATACTTTTTAGCTTTAAAAACATATCTCTTAACCTTTTTATTGCCTAAAGGCTGTTGGACATATATAAACTTTATAAGTGATCTGCAATGTGTTTTTCACTATTAATCTGTCATCATTAGGTAATTATGGGTGTCCCTAGGGGTCAATCTGTTAAAACACATCACTTCTACACATGGTCAACATAGGGGATGAATAATCTTTAAAAAAAGTTTTATATTATTGAAATGGGAATTCATTCTTTATCTCAGCGTTTTTTGGTAAGTCTGTTAATTCTACATTTGGCTAATTCATCAGATTTGCATACTTGATTAAGTTAACTTTCAAATGATAAATGGCATAACTTAGCAATAAATGTGTCCCAATAGGGAAATCGTTTGCTGATACATTATACCTGTATTGAAATAAGAAATATAGCATTAACTCTTATGTCTCTTTTCCTTCAGTTAATTTGGTTAAGTTTTGAGTAAAATCTATATAAAGGTAACATGTATATCAGTAATATTTAATTCCACTAGATGTAAAGCAACCAACAATCAATCAATCAGTAACATTTCACCATTGCCTTTTTAAGAATAGGCAAAACCAGAGTATTTATATTTGTAGAATTTGATTTACACTGATGAACGTTTCATGCATAATTGGCTTGAACAAAATTTGGTGTCAGGTAAATGGATTGTAAATGATCTAACATATTTCTGTGTTACCTTTTTCATTGAAGTTAATAGTACATTTGTAATACTACAACTAGTACAATTTACCATTAGGTTCCAATTATATTATTCACATCCGAGCAACATGCATTCATGTTCTTTGCCCCAAAACCAGCCATGATATGTCCTGGATATGTCAGTAACATTGGATAGCTATCATAAACCACCTCCCCCCTTTTATACTGCAATATATAGCTAAGTAATTCATTTTGAACTTGCATTACTATAGTAAAGTTCTTGAGGTTCAATAATTTTGTATGGTGATATAAATTTGATATTTTCTAGCTACATTTTATATGAAGTATATAACCATTTGATAACATTTGGGTCACTACAACCTCTATTTGGTCCAAGGACACAGTTATCGTCCTTTGGTTTTCGTTGTCTACGAATATAGTCCCTAGTGTGAACAGTGTATAACTTGCATTTTTTTTTTGATACACTTTCCCAATTTATTTCTTGATATTTTATGCATGAAATATTACGTAAGGGGATGAAATTACATGTTAAAAAAATTTGGGTGCTGAATCTTTATGTTAAGTAGTGATTTGGTCCAGTTAAAAAAGGTCAAAAATTAGAATGTCTGAAGCTGTCAAACTGAATTTTAGCCCCCTTAACACAGAATTGTCAATATTTTGAGTTAGAGCTGGTAGAAGTTTCTATAATTTTGATATTATTTGTATCAATAGTAGTACACTACACTGTAAAAATCTTTTTAAGATAGAGCAGGTGCAATTTTTTTAATTTTAATTTATTGTCTAAAAGAAATGCACTACGAAATAACTGTGTTCTCGGGCCTAAGAGATGAATTCCGTAAATGTAGATTCTGTACTTTGGCAACTTTCCTGAATGGTTTGCTGGTTTCAATTTGTCAAACTCAATAAAAGTAAAGCATTTACATCTTTGTTTGACAGAAATTCTGTTTAAATGTCCCATTTTGGCATTATACGGCTAAAATAAGCATTTTAAAGCAGTTTCCATTTTATGCCTAAGAGCCATGCTGACTTTATATCTGACAGCTTTTTATGTTCCTGATATTTGTGTTTCTATGCTTAAATCAAATTTAATTAACCATTTGTGAACTCGGAATCTAGAGAAAAGTAGATTATCACAGAAAAAATGTGCAGAATATTTGTATTTATGTCCCTGGTTAAACGGCCTGTTTGATGTATGTGAAATGTGTAGAGCTTTGTACATAAAATCTGTAGTCCATCACAAATATTTCACTAAATCTGTAAAAAAAACACTTTACAATGATC